CACACACACACACACACACACACACACACACACACACACACACACACACACACACACACACACACACACACACAAAAGCACACCTATGAGGAGAATGCCACCGTGCAGCTCCTGCTCCTTTTCTTCTTCCTGCTCGTCCTCTTTCTTCACTACTCGTGCTACTGCCAGAGCACCTTGTTTTCCTCTTCGTGAGTGTTTATTGCTTTTCGAGGCCAACTAGGCTTGGGCAAAAAATGTTGATAACCAAGCCTCCACACTAACGAACCATCCCTGACTGAATGGGAATGCTGACTACTGAGCCTTGTGGCTAACAAACGAGCGCTTACTCCACAAGTGGACAAACTCAACACCAAAAAAAAAAAAAAAAAGGAACTTCACAAACTTGTCCGCTACTGCGTGGTCAATATACAGCAGCAGCAGTCGTAGCAATTTCGACTACTTCAGCAAGCAGAAGCAGCATCCGTGACGAATGAACACACAAGTCACAAATGTTCATTACCAGGCCTTACGGCTTACAAACTACCTCAGAGTCTGCCTAATAGAGCAAACCTTCGAGCTTGACGAACCCATTAACGGATCAATAAACAACAGTATGATTGCAACTTTCCTGTACTATTTCATCGTATTGCAAGAAAGACATATGGCAGAAGAGGCGGATGGCTAGGAGTAGTTTTGGAGGAGGAGCTTGTAAACGACAATATCTCGTGGCTGACAAACGCATACCACATGTATATGCTGCAATCCTCTAGTAGAACAGCATCCCATCCTAAAAGTGGAATTGCAGGGCAACTATTGGTTTTGAATACCGTCGAATCTGTTGAAACATGACGATAAAGAAACCATCCCAGATTCATCGACTAAGAATGAGGCACTTGTTAACTGACCAGTCCCCTCACACACCCTCCTCACCATTAGTAACAAGGTCCCACAAATATCAGAACCTGTTCCATCTACTTATACAGCTAATGGTCTTCCTATAGCCGTATAGCCGTATGCGCACACCCATCCCCTAAGCTACACCTATACCATATCCTGATATATTCCTCTCTATATATATTATATACGGACACACGTTAGCCATGCATCCTGACATTCCCTACGCTACCTGATAAACACCCTATTGCCGTTGCTTCTATGCTGACCAGGTTAAGGTCAATAGCGACAAGGTTAATAGTGATCTACACCTATGAGTTCGCTCAACATTCCACTATATCTATGATTCTATATGGATACAAGTCAGCCACACATCCTAACAGTCCCCATGCTACCTGATAAACACCTAACTGCCGTTACTTCTATGCAGACCAGGTTAATAGCGATTTCGACCTATGAGTTCACTCTAGGGTGAGGCAGATCGCTTCCCGTTCCATTGCTCCCCTCCCCTGATCACCCCCCTGTTTCCCTTTCAGCAGTCACAATAGATGATCTATGACAGATCTGAGAATCGCGGGCATAGCGAGACCGTTGCAGAATGCGTGTCTTCATGGCCGGCTAGCTCATTTAAGCAAAAACAAAACAGTTGACAAGACTGATCATTGGTGTTTAACAAGGCCAGGGTTGATTGAAACTTAAAAGTAGTAAGCTTCACAAAACCTGATCTTCATTTTTCACCTGCCAATCACCAAGCATCAGCAGAGTCGATAATATATTTTTATTGTTTTACAGTTTTTTACTGCAATTCCCATATTTACCATCTCTTTGAATGGGTCTCGCATGTTTGTAAACATTCCAAGCAACTTTTCTAAATAATGAGCTAAACGTTTCACAGAATCTTCGATGATTTAATGAATTTCTGTTAGTTGAGGGGGAGAGCACGATGTTAAAATAACAAATTTCAGAAGGTAGACTACTGTACTATGTCTTAAAATCTGACTTGCCAGAAGGAAGATTTTGTAATGGTCACTAATTTCATATCATTTTTTACAATAGACAGGTGTATACTTATACTGTACATAAACATTGGTACTGCACTGCGTGCATCTGTAGTACTACATGGCCTTCTGGTTATCAGGATCCAAGTCACTAGAACGAGTACTGCGAGAAGGAAAACAGGTGAAGAAAATTGAGTCCTCGCACAAATGCAGCTATGCCGAAATCGCATCAGACCTGCTCCCTCAAGTTCGGTGGTCCAAGTATACATCTCATTGTAGCCAGCACTCCTGAAGCCCCATCCACAAACACACGTTGTGCGAGTTGGTTCAACAACCACGAGCGCGCGCGCGCGCGCGCGCGCGCGCGCGCGAGAGAGAGAGAGAGAGAGAGAGAGAGAGAGAGAGAGAGAGAGAGAGAGAGAGAGAGAGAGAGAGAGAGAGANGAGAGAGAGAGAGAGAGAGAGAGAGAGAGAGAGAGAGAGAGAGAGAGAGAGAGTAAATATTGCAGCCTATGACGGCAAGAGAATTTGGAACTGTAACAGGAGAAGGACAGGAGTAGAGAACAGAAACGATGTTGACTCGGAAGCCGAAGGGATAGAGCCAACCCTGCCCATTCTCACTTCCTCCCACTCTCAACACCTGTCAGCCGGATCCTGGGAGTTTGCATCCTTGATGCAGCAGTGCTGTAGCGTATATCTTGCATTTTCATAGCACATATACCGCACTGTACAGTGGGAGTGGTGCCATGCGGTATGCCGTAGCACAGTGTGATCTGCGAGCATGCGTATAATACCATGCCGTGCAGTTGCTGCCCCTCTGGCATCTTGAACCAGCATCAATGGTAATCAGGGGTGATATTTCTTGTTGGGTCTTGGACACATCACATACCTAGGCACAAGGGGAACACAACGCCACAGGAAAATTGTACACCAGCCTTGTCTTAGCCCACCATAGGAGGGATGGGAGGGGCAGCAGAGGGTACAAGGAAAGGAGGAAGGGGAAAAATGGATGTAGAGTGTACAGGATCAGCGATACATTCCGACTCTCGGAGGCATCCCAGCACCAACCTGCCTTTTTCTGACAGTACACAGCAGTGCACTGAGAGGGAGGGACCCACCAGACATGGAGGCACAAGCATCAGCTCCTTCCATTTGGATCTAGAAGGGATAGAGAAGTTGGGCTTTTAAAGAGTGAACAGGAATTGGAAAGGGTAAAACTTACTAAGAAGGGTTGAGTGGTAGACTGATAGTACATCCTTCCTGAAGCTGGAAGTAACCAATGCTGCTGTCTCAGGGTCACTTGACCACAAACAGAATGCAAGCAAAGGCAACATTTGTCTTTCTTGGGACTGGCCTCTTCACCTTCTACCAGAGGCACCAGAACATTGTGTTTCCAAGCTTGCCCTAACCCAAAAGCATCAGTCATACCCAGAAAACAGTCAATCAGCAAACAGCAACTTACAGCAGACCACAGCAAACAATACTGAGCAACCTCCGTCTCCTATCCCGACTCACTCTCCTCTACCCCATTCTAAATCCACCATTGCAAGACTACGGGGCGGGAATTGTCCGGAACGTTGGAGACTGGACGAGGAAGGGTGATGCCAAGTTTTTTTGAATAGCATGTTTGAGTTCCCCCCTTCCTCTTCCCCGATCCTTGCACACTAATCCTTCCACGCCTGTCCCCGAGCCAGTCTAGGGAAAAATCAGTTACAAAACCCAGCCCCTTTCTTCAGGTTATCATCTGCTTCTCCCAGGTCTCACTGTTTCTTTCTAACTTACTTCCATCGTTTCCGAGTCTCCAGCTCTATTGACTCCTTCACCAGTGCCTTGGGTCTTGGGATGGGTACATTAGGTTTTGGAACGACAAAAAGAAGGACATGCGGATTACTTTTCCACCTTGGGACTTGAACAACAGGCGCATTTAGCCGCTGCGCCGTACTTCACATTGCATTCAAAGTCTGGTTGCTGTAAGGAGGGCCCCAAACTCTTAGGAGCGTTAAGTAATCATGATAGTTGATGATGATGATGATGCGGAAAATGATGATGATACTTGTGATGGCGATCACAATGAGACATATGTTTTTTTCTTGAGAATGAGATCTACCATGAAAGATCTAACGAAAGAAAACAAGACGGGTGATTTTGATGATGATGGTGGTGGTGGTGATGGTGGTGGTGGTGGTCGTGGGACCTTTCACGGATGGAGATGTGGAGGGAATGATCCAGAGTAAACAAATATAATGATGATGACTATGATGGTGGTCATCGTCATTATAGTAGCGGTCACGTCGATGATGGCGAAGCTCGTTTCTAAGGTTACACGGAGAGGGATGTGCAAAGTGGAAATGGAGAGTAAAACACAAGAAATAAAATTGCATTGACCCCAGGAAGAAAGAGCGATTATCATATGTCTCCCCTTCAGTAGTTACATACAATTTGTTATATTGCAATCTAAGAGTTTGGCCATCCAGCTATGCATGGCGCAGAATCCAAGGACACCATGAGGAAACAACAACGATACAATGCAGCAGAAGACTGAAATACAAAGATCTAACTCACTGTGACTCAGGATTGACTGCATACATCCATCACGGTTGAGCAGGTTGAGGCACAGAGCTGAGAGCACACAGTATTCCTCCTTTTGATGACTTTCCACGCTCATGAGTCGCGACCAAGACAGCAGGGCGAGTTCACAATTTCTCTGTTGTGTTAGGGCCTAGTTGCATGCGTGGCGAGTGAAGAGTTTGAAAACCGTGGTGAGTTGCAGGCAATTGCACTTACTCGCTACCATTTTTATTTTTATTTTTATTTTTAAATTTGGACCATTTCTCGATTTATGCGTGTCATCCTTGCGCAGGAGCCATGCTAATCTTCTCTGTGTGAGGATTGAGCCCTCAAGAAGGGGCCTTGCCATGATGTACATGTTCTGGGCTGAGGCCCCAGCAAGCCTCGTGCCCGCCCTAAGTGAAGGCGGGCCAGCAAATCAACAAGAGCCCTCTGTGCAAACATTTCACGAAGTGGGGTCCATACAGTTGCCGCACGCCAGTTGGTTGGTGTGCACCGAGTATCGGAGCTCTGCAAATGCAGAAATCCCAGGGCCCCGAGTTGGTTAGGCCCTGGGCACATAAACGTGAGGCCGACAATGNACAGCAGTACCGGCGTTAGTCCTAATCAGCTACACTTGGGATGGAAGCCTAGATCAGCTTTGGACTTCCTCCTACCTGAAAACCGACCCTCTGCAACTCCAGGCATACTTGACTATGGTGTGCAGTATGAGAAGTTGTTGCAGCAAGCTGTCGAGCACATCAAGAAAGCTCAGCAAGCAATGATTGCTTCTGAGAACAAGCATCGACGACAGTCCTCATTTCAGGTAGGGGAACGTGTCTGGGTTAAGGCTAGTGAGCTAGGACAGGAATTCGAGATCTCTCGTAAACTAATGCCTCAGTATTTTGGTCCCTGGGAAGTCCTGGATATAGTGGGGGATGAGATGGATGGTCCTACCTATATTATCCGTATCCCTGGACACCTACGCACTCACCCTGTCTTTCATGCCTCAAAGCTTGCACCTTTCGCTGAGACAGATCAACTCCCTTCAAGGAGATCGATGCTGCCCCCAACCATGGGTGGTCAAGTGGACATCGACGACATTGTGAATCACAGAGACCTGCCTGTTCCAAAGCCACTGGGTAGAGGAAGACCTCCTAAACCCAAGCGGGAGTATCGCGTCAGATTCAGGCATCATACGGATCCGAAGGAAGATCGGTGGTTCACCAGAGAGGAACTGATTGACACAGTTCCTCATGTGGTGGCAGAATATGAGAGAATGTTAAAAGGGAAAGCACCTGCGAAGTAACCATATCAGCGGACTTTCGAAGGGGGATGGAATGTGAGGATTGAGCCCTCAAGAAGGGGCCTTGCCATGTTGTACATGTTCTGGGCTAAGGCCCCAGCAAGCCTCGTGCCCGCCCTAAGTGACGGCAGGCCAGCAAATCAACAAGAGCCCTCTGCGCAAACATTTCACGAAGTGGGGTCCATACAGTTGCAGCACGCCAGTTGGTTTGGTGTGCACCGAGTATCGGAGCT